AAAATAACATCCAAAAAATGCTACTTGGGATCCCGTATCACATAACGTAGAAAAATTCAGTCATTTTTAGCTTGATCCTGTATTCCCAAACCAATTTCAATTCACGTCATTTTAGCGCATATATGTATCCGCAATTTCAGACTCTTGACTTCTACCATCTCCAAACATTGAACTTTTCAACTTTACCCCAATCGATTTCAGGCGATATTCACGGCCAATACAATGACTTGCTACGTCTGTTTACACTTGCCGGTTTCCCTCCCGAGTCAAACTACTTATTCCTTGGTGACTACGTGGATCGTGGACCGAAAAGCATTGAGGTACGGTAAATTTACGGTAAATTACGCGCACGCACATAACTATGGCAAATCGCCAAAACAGAATCGCTAATTGCACATTCCGGATCCTTCTGGATTCCTGACGCGATCATAGAGGAGACAATTGCACATTACCCTACTATTGTCAACCCGATGGCCTTGTTCCCATAGAATATCGAAACTATTCGCGCCTTTGTCGAGACGAGAACTGAAAAGGAGATTATAGTACGTATATGGGGGCTGTGAAGCGGCGTTCGCGTGGGCCGTAATTCCCGAACCGAACATAAACCGGTTGTATTTATAACGCCTCTACCATAATCGGCTAGTGTCCTATGGAAGTCATAATCTTGAGCACCTCCGGAGAGAGTGAATGATGTCACTACGTTGGACTGAAAGGGGAATTATGAAGGGGGAGGGAACCATTTTTGCAGTACAATTCTTTAAAACGAGCAGATACTTTATCAATGCCGGTGGATTTTTCGTGTGATTTTAGAAGCTAGAGACTCTGACTGAAGACTTGACCTCTTGATTATATTACAAGGGTTGCTTCGTAGTTCATAGATGAGTTTGCTGGTTTCGTTAGAATGAGCCTATTATGTATAACAATATCACACTACTTTGGACGAAGAGCCCTATTATTAAGAAAGGAAAAATGCATAGATGAAGGGAAAATCATTTCTTATGCCTCATTACTTTCAGACCATCGTCCTTCTGCTATGCTACAAAATCAAATATCCGAACAATTTCTTCTTATTACGTGGAAATCACGAAGTGGCCAACCTCAATAGGATTTATGGATTTCATGATGAATGTGAGTCACCTTTCATAAATTTGTGACAAAATTATTCTTAACGAAATATGGATAAAATCATATTCCTT